ACTTGATCATGTCTTTTTCCGTCAATTCACTTTCACGAAACATTATTTTGAAGTAATTGGTGAAATGTGATTATGTCAAGATGGTGTTACAATTCAGTGCGCAATTGAACAGAACTAAATTATTACGAAAATAGAAATAAATTATTCGTACATGAATTCTTGGCATCATTCACACTATGAAAGCCAACAACGCATAAAAACTGTGATATTGTTGTCAGGGCAACAACAATAGAAGTTGAAAGTTTTAATGGAAGCACAAGATGACAACTTCTTCCGACGATAATGATTGATGAACTCAACAACGCTTTAAGGTGCTGATGATACTGACCTCACATGAGTCACATATGTTGATGGGGTATTCCTCAAGCCATGATCTTGGGCCGTACGATCAAAACTAGTTCAGTGCATGTATAATCCATTAGACAAAGTTATTTGAAGACAAGTTATTCATTCAAAGTTATTTGAATGCTTTTTATCACTGAAAAGCATCCTCTGGTTTTCAATCGAGCTTGTACAGTCGATTTCTTGTCTGTGATTGGTGAGTTGTAAATCTTTTTTGGATACTATGGCCACTGATTGCGATGGCCACAAGGGCGATTTACCCACTATTTATGTATCTTTTTATTTTTTTTTAAAGGCCTCCCACACTCACCATTCCAACAAAAAGGAATTAATTTTATTAATTAAAAACAGGGAATGGTTTCATGTCAATGATCAGGGCCCCGACCTTAACGCCTCTGATGGTGGCCTACACCGACTCCGAGGGTCACTGAGCTGTGACGCGAGCGAGGAGCGTACGTCGAACTTTTCTCTGACTGCTGTTAGGATGCTAGCTGCATTGCCTCTTTGCACAGCCAAACCCAACCTTTGCTCCAACCATAGAGTCTCTCTACATTCGCCGGACAATTTCGTATTGCGACTGCCAATCTGTGATATTTAAGGACCAGTCGTTTCACCATATGTGCGACCGCTTGTCGCAAGACTTGTGTCGCACCCGCTTGTGCCTGGTGACTTATTGGAGAAGAGACTCTCGTGTCGCCCATGGTCCCCAGTCCTGCCCGTCGTTTCTAATGTATTAATTGTATTACACAATATGAATTAATGTATTAATTAATGCATATTAATTAATACTAATGTATTAATTATGTATTACACAATAATTTCATCTTGTCCATCGACCAACAAACTAGATATCCGTTCACCCACAGTTACCTCTGAGAGCAGTACGTGCTTCATAGCAGGGCCAATGCTGCAACGCGCAGAATACTCATGGTAACAAGATTACGATTATTTTACTAATAAGTTCTAATTAAACCTACCACTGAAACTCACATAAAGACTGCCTCAAAGTCTCTCCACATAACTGATGCCAATGACCGGTGAAATGTGATTATACTGATGTGATTATACTGATATTATGTTTAAGGGAAACAAAAACCCTTATATAAAATAGTAAGTCAGCTTAACCCTTTCGGAGCCACGCGTTCAACACTCGCGTCATTGTCATCATCTAAATGCACTCACTCCAGCAAAATAAAGGATGTGTTGAAGTCGTATTAGAAAAAGAAATTTAAGAATTTGAATTTCGACCAATGTCCTCACAATGCACCAACGTCTCAAAAAATATAACTCAGTACTCACAGCAGTGAGCGACAGAGAGCGCATTTTCTCGTCGACGAAAACTTGAGGTCACGGACGGACGGACAGACAGACAGACGGACATGGCGAGCACAATAGTGCATTTTTTCCAAAAATGAAGAAATACGTTAAAAAACGTTGCCCAATAAAAACGCATTTCCAAACGGCAATGCGATTCTACAGAAGAAAATGACAGTATAACAATGAACTATTGTCAGTCGTAATAATTGAAAAATGTGAGCCAATCTATAAATTTGTCGAATCTTTTTGAAATGTACGTAAAATACAATAAATTATGTGTATGAAAAAGTCTTTCCATCACTGCCTTGAAGAATAACGCTGCATCATTGAAGATAAGAAATCCTATCTCTCCAGTTAGTGACTTCGAACTCTGGTTCTGAAGCAAAAATATTAGATATAGACTAATAAAGTTATATTGAAACTTCAAAGGAAATTATAAATTCAATTTGGCATCGCTGCTCTGATCTCAGTATCCAGAAGGAGTCAAAGATTCGGGCCAATTTGTCAGCGTATAGAATTGACTTGCAAGCAAGGCTATTTCCGTCTATCATATGTTATCATGCTTGCTACAAAAATTTTTTTATTCTATTTAATTATGAGATATTTCGTTCATGAAGGCAGATATTTAAATAATTTATTTAGTAAAGATAAATAATAAGGTTTTTTAAATCTTATTTGTAAATATTTGAATGAAAAATATACAACTTTCTATCCGAAATTGTAGCATCATATATATGTTGGGAAAATTGCGGCAGCAATTCCTATTTATTTCATAATAACAACATTCTCCGTAAACAAAATAACAATTTCTTGAATACGTTGATTGGAAAAAGCCATAAAATTGTTAAATTATCATAAAAATTGCTAAATAACAATTTTTTGAATAGGTTGTTTGGAAAGAGCTATACAATTGTTAAATTATCATAAAAAAAGCTTGATTACTTGAGACACTGGCATAACTGTGACAGCCTAGCACAGTGAAGGGAAGATATCACAACATGAACTTCAGCGCCGTAAGCGCTTGTGCCCCAAGCCCACCTCTCCCACGACCTGCTGATGCAACACTTAAATTACTTCAGGAGGAGTCCGTAGAACTTGGAATTTATTAGCATTCTGCATTTCTTTTTTAATACTAATATTACTAGAGGAGGAGTCCGTAGAACTTGGAATTTATTAGCATCCTATATCCATTTTCACTCGTATTTTCGCCACTATAATGTTCATTATAAATTAAATGGAAGTATTTCGTTTTTGAAATGAATAAATGAGAAACTAAATACTTACTCTCAATATTCATTAAAATGAAATGCACTTATATAAACTAATAAACCATGAGCAAAATTTTCGATAACTAGATTATTGGGAGGTTTCTGTGGCTTTGAAACAGGTACTTAATTGTACCTGAGCCTGTTTGCCCTCGCCATTTTGTGAAGGTACGAGGGTTCTTCCCTTCTATGAAAAATAGCAGCAACAAATGAATCAGTATTCTTTATTTCTATGCAGAATAAGAGCAACGGACAAACATTCTTCCTTCAAATGCAAAATAACAGTAATGATCATTATTATTCTACTTGTTGCAAGTATTCAATAGAGCCGTTGACAGTCACTCTTCTTGTTTTCTTAATAAATACTTTGATATGTAATATATATCAGATCATTGAAATGCCTATAGGAACACAAATTGGTTACTATACTTCGTCATTGCTTTTATAATTTATCTCATAGCTCTCATTGGGCTGCTATTTCTTATTTAATTGCATACTAATCACTACACATGAATTGGGACAATTACTAATGTTTTTCTTATAGTTAACAGTTAACATTATAACTCCGTCTAAATAAAAGAAGTAGACTATCCAAGACATTATTATTATATGGTAATATTTTTGACTGGATATCACGGTCAAGCCAAGAACTTTGTTACTAGTTCAGCTAGAAGCGCGCAGGTTAATCGGTCCACGGACTGGACCGGCACTGAGGCATGAGTTGGCCTGTCGATAGTGAAGCCCGCTTCAATTGCCGGGGCCGGCGGTGCCCTGGCTGACCCGCCACAAACGCCAGCGCAAATTGTCGGGAGCCGGTGTCACTACAGTCGATGCCCGCCACTAACACCAGCGTAGATTGTCGGGAGCCGGTGTCACTACAGTCGATGCCCGCCACTAACACCAGCGTAGATTGTCGGGCGCCGGTGTCACTACAGTCGATGCCCGCCACTAACACCAGCGTAGAATGTCGGGAGCCGGTGCCCGGGTAGATGCTTGCCATTAACGCCAGCGTAGATTGTCGGGAGCCGGTGCCCGGGTAGATGCTTGCCATTAACGCCAGCGTTGATTGTCGGGAGCTGGTGGCAGTGATCGCAACAATCGCAGACGGATCGCCGCAGAAAAGCTGACTTGCTTCACTACCGATTCCTGAAAATGTTGCAATTTATGAAGCACAAATAAACTATGAATGGTAAATGCTGTGTATGTAATTTAGAGTTTTTAAAACGGTCAAACTCTTCTCTCGCTATGTTGTGGGAAATTTGTTATTTTCCTGTGAACATTTTCGTGCTCGTGTGCAGTGCCAGGATCGTGCACATAGGAAAAATTGTCTTTTCAGATAAAATGAGAGAATTTTTAAGTAACAAACTACCACAAGATCTTTCTTTTGATTCATCATGGACGTGAATGTGGTGCAGTGAAACTCATTAAATTCGCAGAGAACGAATGTTTCTCATTTATCAAAACCAGGTGAACGCAAAGAGTATTCGCTTATCCTGTGTAGACGTTAAATGCGAAGCAAAATACTGCGGTGTTTGCCCTTGGGGCTGTAAGCTGTAATAATAAAACACAAATGTGGGAGCAAATAAGCAAAAGTATTCCCCTCTGATATTACGCAGGCTTTTCTGTAGCACTGTAGCAGGCTGTGCGAGACTTCGAAACTAAAGAGCTAATAAACGAAAATTTTCATCTTTTCTTGACGCAAAAAAGAGAGAGAGAGAGAGTGGAGCGAAATTTTGAAATGCATTGAACAACGATTTAGTGATTTATTTAAAAAGTAAACGAGAACAGTATATCACGTAACATTGATAACTGCCTGAGAAACAATCCTTTTACCGGAGCAACAATCAATCAGCTACGGTAATCATCTCAGAAGTGCCCCGTCGATCCTTTATTTGCAACCACAATCGCCCTGCTGCAACACTTATTGCAGCTGCGATCCTATTCCTGCAGTCCGTACAATTCCAAGCTGCGGCCAGCCGCGCTGCTGCACCTGCTTGCCGCAGCTAGCACGCAGGTGCCCACTCAGAGTCACTCTCGCTTTCGCTGGCATACGCTCGCCAGAGGCGCCAGTGTTTCCATGTCGCGTGGCTAGAGTTTCGTGGCCGCTAAAGTTTTAAGTTCCGTGGCCACCACTATTGAATTCTGAGGCCTATACAGTTGAATTCCGTGGCCTCTGCAGCTGAGTTCCGTGGCCATTTAAGTCAAGCAGTGCTACTAGCCTGAGGACGTGGCCTGGGACTGTTACGTCTTCCCAAGGATCGATGCGAATATGGTAGAAATTGCTTATTGATGTGAAGCAAAAGGTGTATAAGTGCTGAATATATTGCTGAATATCATGATATTACAGTAAATGTCTTACAAGTTTGTAAGGTTGCGAGAACTGAATGTTTCTTTGAGAAGTAAAAAATAGCGGTGATACTGTATATTAGATTTTAAATATTTCAATATAATTGATGGCTGACAATAACCCACAGGAAACCCAATGAATTATCTCCGCGGAAAATGGACGAAATTCTTGTCTTTGATGCGACTGAAATAATTTTGTTTATCCAAAGAGTGCCAAATTGGCAATAAAAATTTCCTAGTTAACACATCCAATATTCATTTCAATTGACGTGAGTCATTGAAAAAGCTTGGGATTTATTTACTGAAGCCAATAATTCATCTCTGATGAAAAATTTTCTGGGTTATCAACAGTTTGAGAACCTCAACAAACGTCGAAGTTCACAGGTGAGCTCAAGTTCTAACGTAATTTTTTGCTGAATTAATATCATTTGATTGCTTAATGAAATAAATAATTCATTGTTATTTTTTAACGAACAATGGTTTTAAATAATTACAAATCTTTCAAGAAAACTTATGAAATTTGGCTGGAAATCACTTGAACTTAGGCCTCATTAGGTCTTTATTATAGAATTTTTAATTAATTCAGTCTCGCGTATGTAGGTATATGTATCATATTTAAAAAACTTATTGCTCATCACGTCAGAATATTTATTTTAAAAATCTTGTCAATTTCGGTGCGATGTTTTACAAGCCTTCGAACAGTTTCAACGAGGGTTAAAAAGGTTAGTTTAAAATAGATTTCGCTGGAAAATAAACAATTTACTCTTCGTCTAAATCCGACTCATAAAAAGCCTCGGATTGGCAGTGTCCGTTGCCTATTCACCAGGTGTCTTAAAGTATTTCAGAACTTTAAAACTTCTTGGCAGGTGTCATTTACCGAAAGGAAATGAAATCGAATAGTGAAATATTGAAGTTATTTCATGAGATATCTCCTCGTCTGTTACGTCAAAGAGAAGTTTGTATAACCAGCTTCGCTGTTCTTAGCATATCATCGATCTTACTTTTAACTTTCCGAGAGTACGTAAATCCAGGAGGCAGGTCGTAACATAACCATTTAAGTTATTGTGTTATTTTATTTACACATACTTATTTAAGTATGTGTGTTATGGTTGACTTTAAGTGAATGTAGTAATAATATTTGTTCTTTATTATTTCGAGAGTAAACGCTGTAACTTAATAGTCAATTTACCAATGCAATCTGAATGTTAATGAGCATTACGCATTATTTACCGACTGTATTGAAGTATTCTTTTTAGAAGATCGCATTAGCCATTTGCGCCCCCGAAAGATAACATTGTGCGCTAATTCAATCGGCAAAAAATCGTTAAACAGTGACATTGTCATTACGAAAGTGTAGTGTTATTCTTTTCTCAGTTACGTAATTTTTTAATTTAGCCTGTTATTTCCGAGCACGGTTAATTACAAAATAAATTGCCTGTTTCCCTGCTGGAGAGCTCGTTTTACCCCGAAATTTGTGGGAGTGAATCTATTAAACTTTATTCTGCCACTGCGCAAGTTTTAGAGAAATGCCTCTATTTTTTTAATTTACGACGACGATGTGTGAACTGCAATCAACATCTGCACCTTCCATGCACACTACACTTGTCGTCATTTCCAGGATATTCCATGCTAAATTTCATGAATGAACTTCTATATTATATTCAACAATCGGTGACTTGGCAACACTAATAAACTGCGTTTTACTTTTGCAGCGTTTAGTCAAAGTTGCTCTTACAGCGCTCTGCTAGAGTTGCTTTTTACAGCTCACTGCCAGAGTTGCTTTAACAGCGCTCTGCCAGAGTTGCTTTTACAGCGTTGTGCCAGAGCTGCATTTAGAGAGTCTTGCTAGAGCTGCCTTCTGAAATCTGATTCGAAATTACGCTTCACCATATTGCTTCTCGTCCGATCATGAATTAAATTTTGTTGGAATTTAAGTCATTTACTTCCTGTGTGTCTAAATTCACCGCTATAAATAAATTTTACCCCCATCGTTATCCAAATAATCAAAATTTGAACGATTCATGTGCATGTTCAATCTTTTTCGGAATATTTTTCCCGAAACTGGCTTCTAAACAGGGACGTTTCTACGTAGTTGTGGCCGGACAGTATTTAATTCCGCGACACTATGCAGAACAAAGGCAAGCGATTCGAACATTATTTTTCAGGAAGACAATGGAACGAACTGCAGTTTTCCGCGGATGTTTGAACCGACTTCTCGCAATATAGGGCCTGGCAAGACGAAGAGGCTGTCTCTCATATCAGGTACTTTTCAGGCCCAGGGTAAAGCCTGAGCCAGTTTATTGGACGTCTCCGGCTCTGCTGGCTTAAAGTGATTCTCATGATTAATTAATGGATGTTCGCTGAAAACCTCAACGCCAAGAAAAATACCTGCAGCTGCTAGACCTGTAGTTCCCATTGACATCATGGGTACAATGAAGACTGGCGGGGCTTTAAATTCGCGTCTAAATTTACGGGCCTTATGTTCGCTGTAGAATGCGGGTCAAATTTAAAAGTTTTAGTCGACAGTATCCTGCGGATAAGTGCCATTTAGAACATGAGTGATGTTAGTGAAAGATTAAATGAATATTTCTGGTAGTGGATCTAATTAAGAAGAGGGTGGTGAACTCAGATAAATTAATGAGTCATTTTATTCAATTAACAACACACTTTCTGCAAGTAGCATTGATATTCGCACTTTTGTGGGACATCTTGGCTCAGGATGACCCACACTAAAGCAAAAAATTAGATCAGTACTCACTGCAGTGCGTGACAGAGAGCGCATTTTCTCAAAATCGACGAAAACGAGAAGTCACAGACAGACAGATGGACAGACGGACGGACATGACGAGCACAATAGCGCCTTTTTTCCATTAATGAGAAAATGCGCTAAAAAGGCATCGTCATTTCGGCAACACCTCACACATTTCTCTGAGTGCATACAAGCACCTTTTGCTTGCCTGTATCGTTCACAATTACAAAAATTGACTTTCTTGAAAGTAATAATTTTAGTGGTGAAGTGGTGGGAAGTTGCTCAAGTTGATGGTCCCGTCGCAAGAGATCCTTGCCGTCGCGTGAGACTGACTCTATTGTTTGTTTCTTTGGCCTAGGTAACTTCGGTGGCCTTGTATGAAAAAGATTGCGGAAAGATTCCAAGAAAGTGAAATGCCTTGAAAAGTTTAAACCACGGAACCAAAACATTGTAAAATTTTCATGCATAAAAGACTATTCTTTCAAAATATTTAAAAGGTAGCTGTAAATTGGCGAAATTTTTACTCGGGCTGAAAATTTTTTACTCAGCCTCGAGGTCCTTTATTCGTCCCTTCATTCGTGAATACATTCCTAGTTGTAGTAGGTCACAGAAAATTTGTTGACAAGAAGTGGCGTATGCCTTGCATTACTGACAATAATTATTACATGAATATTCGTCGAGCAATAAACAATTAATATCCGTTAACGCATGAATCACCCAGGATGGTGAGAAAGTGACACTATGTGGCCAGGATGGCATATCTGACTCATCGGACTCAGTCAAATGAACTCATCTGACTCAGTCGAATGAACTAAGCTGGCACAGTTAAATGAACGCAACTGACTTAGTCCAATGGACTCAGCTGGCTCAGCAAATGGACTCAGCTGAATCAGTCAAACGGACTCAGCTGGTTCAGCAAATGGACTCAGCTGACTCAGCAAATGGACTCAGCTAACTCAGCAAATTGACACAGCTAGCTCAGCAAATTTACTCAGCTAAATCAGTCAAATGGACTCAGCTGGCTCAGCAAATGGACTCAGCTAACTCAGCAAGTTTACTCAGCTAGCTCAATCAAATGGACTCAGTTAACTCAGCAAATGGACTCAGCTGGCTCAGAAAATGGACTCAGCTGGCTCAGCAATTGGACTCAGCTGGCTCAGCAAATGGACTCAGCTAGCTCAGCAAATGAACTCGGCTCACATGCAGCCTTCACGGCTCTTTTGCTGCTCGCAACGACTCAGGCCCGCCATAAGCGATGCTCTGGCGACTTTAATCAACATGATATCACCCTGGGGGACTCTTTGCCTCCCCGGTGTGCTATGGCTATGGGAGTTTCATTAAAACCTGATCGCTGCCACTGCATTGTTGAACTTTAAAGTCTTATTCGCTCTTTAGTCGCACCAGTGCGGGGACCTGAACGAGTTTTTTCGCGCTGAGTTTTGTTTTTAGTTTGATGTGTGTGTAAGGTTATATTTTGGTTATATAGATAAATTATTGTCTAAATATCCTGTTTTTGTATGCAAAACTATATTGTAAGTCTTAGTTTAACTGTGAACATTTTTAGATTCCAATAAGTACAATTAAACTTTTTTTAACTTTAATTAAGTCCTATCGGATTTAAGGCTCAGGGGAAATAATTTCATACTCTAAATATCAGGAAATACGTGTTGACTTTACTAAATCAATAACTTTTCACTCAATCCATGATTTTTTCTACAATATTTTCAAAACCAACACGATATTCTCTAACGTTCAGGCCGTTGTTCGAGGAGTTTAGAAGTAAGTGCAGTGCATTTACGAGCCACTAATTCAATTCTGGCAACAAATTGACTTCCAACCAATAGTCAGCATTGTGTTGAATTTGGGAAAGTTGAATTCCGCTTGTCCCTAACTTCGCTTATAATTGCAGATTCGTTAAAAGTCTTTCACTGTCCAAACATCCCGATGTTTAAATAAACGCAATTCTGCATGGTTCTTTGTGAAAAGTTCAACTGTAATTAAAAGCGATTACTTATCGACAGGAAGGCTCATTTACCGAAGTTCTTCAACTAGTCAAATTAAGTGAGAATAAAATCTGTATTTGCTCGTTGGCTCGGTGAAATGAATTTAATTTCGGACTCTTTCTCGAAATTACCCTGATGCCTCGGTTTTAGCGATTTCCCTTTCAATTTCGATTAAAACGTTTTTGGCAATATGTTTTTGGTAATTAAACCGTTTTTGGAAATATATCTATATTAAATTTTGGTTTTTGACTAAGCCAAAATTAAGATTATTATTGTTCGATCAATGTAACTTTAATTTTGATATTTTAGATAATTACACTCTCTGTTTAACTTACTCATTATTGGTATTTATTACAACCTTAGAGCCGTCCCGTGGCTTATGTTTCCTCACAGTATTGAAAGTTTAAACTGGTTCTATTTTTCCTTTTGTTTGCCTCTATAATTTGTTTATTGAATAAATAACTGATCCATGAAAATCTCGTATTCTCTTTTAAAATTGGTGCCCATTTGGTGTAGACTGTAAAAACTTTCAATAACTCTAGTTGAAAATTAGTATCTTAAAATCAATTATTATGTTCATGAAAAACCATGATTGTGAGAGAAACCAGAACCTTTTGCACTAAGATAGAAAC